TGCTGACAAGGAAGCCTAGTGGACCAATCGGGCTCAAAAAATGGAGGAGACCGGAGCAGTAGGCAATTATCGCAAGCCGTTCCAACTGATTCACACCACTGGTCCCAGGATACTAGGTGGCAGCCAGATAACCCCAGAGACAGAGCGGGTGCCATGATTCACAATAAGAAGCGCTTATGGCTCATTGGGCGAAGTACTTTCGGAAGTAGTTCAGTTGCTCTCCTGCTTCCAGACTTTTTCCTACTCAAATGACGCAGCATGAGCCATGGCAGTTTAGTTTTAACGTTCCATCGAAGACTGAGATCCGAAACCCGATCACTCTTCTCAGTCGTATTCGTGTTGCTTGCCCGTATTCCCTCCCAAATGCGCTATTTAAGGATGGAGGTGAGGTCCTCTGCAAAGCACTGACCTTCATGTTCGAACAGGTTCGGAAGGAAGAGAGCATCCCAGCTAGTTGGAGTGAATGGATCATAGTGGCGATATACAAGAAGGGCAGTCACACCGCCTGTGTTAACCAAACGGGTATTAGCCTAACGGCGCCATTGGTGACAAATTACCGGACTCAGTTTTCGTTCTTCGTTTCACTGTGGTACGGAAATCCCAGATTACGGAAGCGCACCCAGATTTTCGCCAAGGACGGGGCTGTATAAACAAGATATTCACTCTGCGGCAGATACTAAAGTAGCGCCACACTTACCGCAGGCCGACAATTGCTGTGTTCCTCGATTTCAAGAGTATGGCTCAGTCGATCGATGCATTCTGTTCGAAATACTCGCGCGGAAAGGTGTTCCCATGAAATATGTGGGCAATTTACGTGCTATGTACCCGAACACGACAGGCCGCGTCAGGCTTTACGGCGTTTTGTCAGATGCCTTTCCGACAACAAGTGGCGTTCGTCGGGTTGTCCAATTTCCCCAGTTTTGTTCGCTTTCCTCGTGCACTTCATCATAAGGTGCTCCCTTGCGGAGCCTCACAATGCAGACGTTGAGGTGCTGCCTGGTGAAAAGGCTAGATGATCTTGATTATGCGGACGATATCGTTTTGCTGTTTAACGATGTTGCGGTGGCGCAATCAACTCTTGATAACCTTTCTAGAGTGGTCCAACCATTTCCCATGTTCGTCGCACCTTCAAAGTGCTAGTTTGTGTTACAGGATCTTCAGCTAATTGAAGACCACTTGACCTTTGATAGCCGGCTACTCGAGGTAGTTGCTCATGTCAACTACCTTAGCAGCTGCATCAGCAAAAATAGACGCGTGGTAACTGAAGTCAGTTGACGAGTTGCAGAAGCTAGATCTGCTTTTTTGAATCTGCGATATATGTAGCGTCAAACGTTAGTTTCTGTCCGTCTGAAAGTCCGTGTTTACAAGGCCCCATTGAGGCCCGTCCTACTCTTTTGGAGAGTCTTGGCCACTTCGATCTGAGGACCTGTGGCGCATTAAACTCTTTCACTATTGTTGTCTGCAAGCCATTGCTGCTTTCGGATGGCACCAACATGTCCACAATGATGATGTGCGTAGGCGAGTGCCAGGCAATGATAATTAGGCCAGTTTCTTTGAACATCAGATAGCACTAAACTACTTACGTTGATTTGAACACTTATTACGTACGCTGAATCTCCGCTTACCGTGGAGGACCTTGTTTTGTTTATCAGATGCAGGGTAACGCAAGACTCGATGTGACGAAAGTTCCCTTGGCAGCGGGAAATGAAGTCACCGACTACAAAACTAGTGCTGTTGGTACGTTTAGCCATCCAGCCTGGAGTTCACGTGACCTGCCTCATGCTTGGCTTGAGATATTACAGGACATGACCCACAGTCGGCACCAGCAGCGCGTCTGCTGTTGTTCCCTAGTCGGGATACCTGTTTATGTGCATTTGGTATTGAGGCATCTGCGGGGTAATGTCTGATTTGACGATGGGCTGTGAAAGCCTCAAGGAAGCTGTCTCGCCGATGCTGCCTTAATTTGGCACGAAAGCCAGCTATTTGTGACGGTATCTTTTTAGCAAGATGTCAGCTCCTTGACTCTGAACGTTTGTTTAGGGCATTAAGATTTTATGTTAGGTACTTCCCTGCTTTTTTCGTTCTTTGTTCCGAAGGTCACAATGCTTGTGCTACAGCGAAGCATCAGTTGAAATGGCTGTTGTTGATGATGATGATGATGATGAACGATTTTCATCTCAACAGCTCATTTTTACTACTAGGACTCACGGTCAGACCGAAGGCTTTCATTCACTTGTTGAGAAATGGACCGACGGGGTTCATTTTGCTGCTCGCTAGCGGGCGTAGTCGGTCAACGATCTAGCAATACTAAGGGTGTTGCTGAGCTCCAGCTGTTTTGATTGTGCAACAGAGGAGCGCGCAGGTGGACAAACAGACGGACATTCTTGCTTGTTGCGGACCTAGCCAGTGTTAGACAACATCCAGGGCAGTGGAGAGAGATTGTGATGTTCAGGAAGCCTCTGTTGATGATCCATTTAAACCTCTTGGCCTCCAATTGGTATGGGTTCAGTCTTGTTTGTTTGGCTCTAGGTGAGCCACTGAAATACATGCAAACTGTCGCACACACCAATGCGTAAATAATGAATAACAATGTGTCAGCTGTACGCCCTAACGGCGCTTCGCTGCCGCGCGACCACCACCAGTCGCGCGCGGGCTATGTATACCGCGTGGACGCCCATCCCTACGCGGATTCGAATCGGTGACCTTATGGTTGCAAACCAAACGTGCAGACCACGGCCACCGGCCGAATGCATGATCAGTACTAACTCATCAACAAAAACGGTCTTCCATCGCATTCACTGCTGCGCCACCTGCGACTTATGACTATGCGAGCAATTTATGATCAGCGCTGGGTTGACGATGGACCACGCCATGTGGCATCCAGGTTGACGAAGGCTCTTGTTGTAGAGGAAAAGTTATTCGTCGGCATATCGACTGAGCAGTCTCTCTTGTTAGAGCGGGGCCTTCAAATTTGGCCGTTACTGTTCTCATTGGATTATTTTACACCGGACTACGGATCCTATATTTTATCTTTTACTTCGAAACAATTTGTTTTTTCTGATCAGGTCTCAAAGTCAATGTTGTCTTACTCCGTCAGTCATTTGAAAACGTTACATGTTACTGACCTAAATCCGTGCCTAATCGAATGCGGCCATAAAGTCAGGAACACTTGCAAATGTTTTACGAATATATGTCTTGAAAAAAGCGCAAGCATCGTGTTGGCTGGCAATCTGGCCTCAGTCGTTGTTCTGTCGACAAAGCGCAAGTCCCACTGATACTTTCCGATAATGTTTGCTCGCTTGTTGGTAAAATCGGTCATCTCAATGTCATTATGCAGCGAAATGAGTATGTTAATGCAGGAATCATTCGGTCTCAAGAAAGCTGATTGCATGCTGATGCAGAAAATGTGGTAATTCATCTTGATGGTAATTTTTCCATCAGGTCTGACCGCCCCGGGAAGCTCCAGTTTCGTGATGCTGGCGTTATAACAGTTAATCAACGTTGGTACAACGTAGCAATCATAATATTTACCTACGCAACTAATTTTATAAGCTGCCATTTAGTTGAATGCAAACCGAACTTCCTAAGTGACTTTCGATCAGTCATCGTTGGAAACGTGTACATTGCTCCTGACACATCCGCATCGGAGTTAAAGCTTTTTGAGGACCAACTTTCTTCAACGCTACTGCTTAAATTAGGTTGTTCTATCTGTATTCTTGCTGGCGACTTCAATAGAAAGAATACAACATTCTTGAAGACACTTGGCTTGGTAGACCTAGTGACTATTCCGACCATGCAAGATGCCCAGTCAGACGCTTTGTTCACAAATAAGCGGCAGTTGTTTGCCATACAATAGCAGGCTCCTTTGAGCAACTCAGACCATTGTATTGTAAAACTGTGTCCAGTCATATACAGCAGGTCTGATTTTTCAACGCTAACCAGACGTCCTTAAAGGATTATCCAACGGCGAAATTGCTCCAGACGATGATTTTTAAACTGATTTTTCGGTCTTCAAAGACAAGGACCTGGCTCTCGAGTGTGATCATCTTACGTACTACATCAAATATTGCTTTGACATGTGTTGCCCTGTTGAAACGATCTATCTAAGAGCAGATAGATTTTCATCACGACTACTAAAGCGACTTCGAAGGATGAGAGAATGGGCCTACAACTGCAAGGATGCTACCGGTGTCAAAAGCCTAACCATGGCAGTTACATCTGAGATAGAAATACTAAACCAGTTATACGTTGAAGCTGTTCTGGGCACCCATAACTGTCGCGATCTACGGAGGCTTCTAAAGCATCTCTGGGGTAAGAGCGGTGAAGTGGAGGTGGATAAACTGAATTCTGTGTTTAGTTCCTCCTCATTAAGCTCATCTTCCTTGTCCTCCTTCATTAGCTCAAGTCCAGCTGCGCCCTTCCATCAAAGCACCGTCCACAAGGAACTCAAAAGATGAAAGACAACCAAAGTTTGTGGTCCGGATGGTCTCTCACCATTAGCTTTGAAGAAGTGTGCTAATTCTCTCACACTGCTTTTAACAGATCTCTTTAACAAATGCGTCACAAGGGGTGTGATCCCAGGCATTTGGAGAACGTCTAGTATCACTCTAGTACCAAAAAGTGGATCTCAAAGGTATCGCTTAATTGCATGCATATCTGTGCTCCTAAAAGTTTTCGAAAGACTGTCAATTCCGCGGATATTTTTTCAGCCATTTTTGAAGACGATGTCTCCCAGTTTGCGTATAGACCCCAGCACACCACCTTGAATGTAGTGGTATATCTTGTTCAGTCTATAGCCTCTGCGTTAGATCAAAGTGTAAATCCGTACGACTTCTCTTCCTGGATTATTCGAATGTCTTTTGGAAGCCTGGATACTTCAAGGCTGCTAAACCTGCTATCCAAAAATGCAGTTCACGCTGTTGTGTGTAATTTGTTACTTGACTATTTTACAGACCGTACTCACTTCAGCAAGTTGAACGGTAAGAAATCCTCTGTCCTCCATGCCGACGGTGGTGTTCTACAGGGAGCGATCCTATCACCTTTTCTATTCTCCCTTGTATGTTGAACATCCACTACGAACTACGTTTATAAGATGTAAATATGCTGATGATGTGCTGGGATGTATGTCCCCCACTAACCAGGATTCCTCATCACTTCAGCATGGGTTGGAAGATCTGATGGAATGCTCTTCATCCAAATCTTTTACGCTTACTGCTTCTAAATGCAATGATATAATATTTTCTTTTCTACGTGACGATAGGTTGCAGTCCCTCATAGCTTTCTCCCCCACACCTACTGTGAAGGAAAATTCCATACCCAGGTCTTCCACCGTCAAGTATGTCGACAATGTTTTGTCCCAGAACCTTTCTTGGTCTACGCGCGTCTGTACAACTTGCAGTCAGTTGCAGACCACACAAAGCCTGCTGAACGATGTAGTGGACGGTATTCACTTTACTATGGAACCAGAAATGGAGAACAAACTACCTTTCTTAGATGTATTGGTTACTAGAACAACGGACGGAGAACTACAAACATCAGTTTACAGGAAAGATACGCATCCAGATCAAATATTAAATTTCAACAGCAACCACCCAAAATGTCACAAAATCAGCTGCATCCGCACCTTGTTCCGTAGGATAGAATCACATTGTAATACTGCTGAAGCAAAACGCGAGGAAGAAAATCATTTGTTTACATCCTTCATGCGCAACGGATATCCACGCAGCTTCATCCGAAGATACATGAACCAGAAGAGTACAAACACCACACCTGAACCAACAACAACCAAACGGATCGCTTTACCATACCTCTAGGATGTATCGGAACTGACTGCTAGACTCCTCAAGCCACACCATCTGTTATTGGCTCACGTACCCACCAACACACTGAAAGGAACCCTATCTAGACCGAAAGGGAAGACGATAGCACACGAACGCCGGAACGTCATTTACAAGATACAATGTAAAAATTGTGATAAGAACTATGTGGGCCAAACGGGAAGAAAATTGTCTACAAGGCTACAAGAACACAAGCGAGCCTGTCGAAACCATTACCCATCATCCTTGGTCTCGACACACGTTGATGAAGAAGGGCACGCATTTGATTGGGAGAAAACAGAGATACTAGCGCAAGGAGAGACCAAAAAGGAAGAGAATTCCTTGAAGCCTGGTTTTCTACAGTCAGTTCAATAAACCAACGCATCGATTTAGATCCGATATACAGGCAGCTGCGAGAAAAGATTTTACGTGGATCATCTGGCAAATGAGTCGAAAGATGCGGCGCCCACACTGGGAACTAGCAATGATCACGGGACCTGAATCGAACTGAGCAGGTTCAAATGTCACTCGCTCACCGGTAAGAATCGACAAAACAAATCAGTTTGCTTATAACGCACTGAGGAAGTCACCACGACTGGTGATGAAACGTCTGCAACGAAACTGTTCAGCTCGGAGAACGGAACAAAATCTGAAGTCAGAAACTTTATTTTTATGCGATCGGACTTGTGCTTTCAGTACCTCGTACTTTAATATTCAGGTTTGTGACCTCTTGTATTATTCCCCATTGGCTACACTGCTCTCCTGTTATTTGCTCTGGACTGCTTCAGAAAGACTACATCTTATTGGTGCGATCTATAGAGCACATTTCTAGATGCAGCGGCTTGTCTAGAGATTGTTTAGTTGATTTGATCATTTCTAGACATCTTGATGTCTCCAATGATTTTTCTTCTGATCGATTTCATCCATTTCACAATGATTTTTCCAAAACACTCTCTTTCTCTTCTACTCTTTCGAAATTCAGAATTTTGTTCTCCCGCATGTCATCGTATCGTAATACCGTTTTGCCTTACCTCTCACGTTTGCTTGTTGACATAGCAAAAGTCACAAACATACTGCGCGAGCTCTTGTTGGAGTAACAGTTCGGCTTTGTTCCCACTTTTCTACTCAAGCATGTATATTGATATTATCATCCAGGTGTCTGCAGTGGTGGCGTAAATGATGAAATTGAACCCATTAAAGTTCATTAAGCTTATTTCGACTGACAGTATCCTCATATCCATCCGGTTTCCCGAGATGGCGTTTACCTGGCTGCAACTGTTCCGGCAGATGAGTTGGTTTCCTGTCATAACAATGATGTCTGTTTTAGGCGCCTTTAGGATCAGCTCATGATGGTTTTGATAGAGTTGGTTCTTGACTGTATACGAGTTGCAGTCAATGGACGCGAAGCGACGATCACGAAAAGCGCACGCTTATCTGCTTGACTTCTAACCTAACCAGAGCTGCCGAGTCTCATGGCACACAGCGACTTTTGTTTGTACTTCAGTCAAAGATGGCGGTCTCGGATCGCGTCTTTTTGGGGTGGTAATAATAGGTGTAAGGTAGTACAAAGAGTTTTACCGAACATCAGTTCTGCAGGGGATTTACCCGTGGCTTCTGTCTGAGTTACACTGTAGGCAAAATGTAATCGATCTAGTCGCATTTGTATGGTTCCTGATAACTGCTTTAGCAGGCGTCTTTTTACCGTCCGCACCGCCGTTTTGGCTAATCCATTTGACGCAGGATGATATGGGGCTGTACGCACGTGTTGAATGCCATTGCTCTGCATAAAGCTCTCAAACTCCTTACTGGTAAAACAGGACCCATTATCTGTACAAACAGTTTCAGGTATTCCGAAAACGATGATCGCATCTTTGAAATGGTTGTTTCAGCCGTGGGATGAGACACTGGATAAACATCGATCCATTTCGAATAGGCATCGACTATCAACAGGAAAAATGTTCCGTTCAAAGGACCAAAATAGTCTGCATGGATACGCTGCCATGGCTTTTCAGGCCAACGCCAAAGGTGTATTGGACCTGGAGGTTTATTCGACTGATATTGTTGGCAGAGATCACACGTTTTCAGGTAGTTTTCAATTTCGGCATCTAAGCCGGGCCACCAGCAATAGCCGCGTGCAAGGTCCTTCATTCGGGCAACACCTGGATGCCCATTGGGAAGTTATTTTGTAATAAAGGAGCGCGCTTTCGACGGTGGAATCAAACGTGAGCCCCAAAATAAGCAACCATCGTGTATATTCAGCTCAATTTTCCGAATCCCAAAAGGTTTCAAATCAGCCGGAATTCTACTATGCCAGCCCAGTTTCTTGAAACGTATCACGGAGACTAGTTTGGGATCTCCATCGGGCCATCGACGTATGACGTCAGTTGTCAAAGAGGTAATGTCGAGGTACTGCATCAAATGAACTGACTCCACCGGTTCATCTATTGGTTCTGCGGGGTCGCGTGCGGTAACCGACTCAGGGCATCCGCTGTACAATTGTTAGAGCCTGGCATGTAAGATATTTTGTATTCATACGCACTAAGGATTCGGGCTCATCGTTGTATTCTAGGTGACGACATTTGCTGGATCCCCGTGGAATCACCCAATAAGTATATCAACGATTTGTGATCAGTTTACATCTCAATATGGCTGCTTCAAATATACTGGTGAAATTTCTTGACATCAAAGATAACTGATAGGGCCTCTTGATCAAGTTTTGAGTACTCTTTTTCAGACGGTTGTAAGGCACGAGAAGCAAAAGCCATCGGAAGAATTACACCAGTTGGCAATTTATGACACAAAACTGCTCCAAATCCGTATGGAAAAGCAGCACACTGAATAACCAGTGGCTTTTTCTATCGTAGTTAACTAAAACTGGAGCTGATGCTAAACCGTTTTTACCACGAATGAAAACGGGCTGATGCTTATCATTCCACACCCACGGGGTGTTTTTACGTAGCAGTGCGTTCAAAGGAGCTAAAATCGTTGATACTTCCGGTAACATACGACGATACTGTGATAACATTCTTAAGAATGATCGGAGTTCACAACCTTCTTAGGCTGCGGTGCCTGTATAATTGGGGATAATTTATCCTGGAAAAGATGCAGATCTCTCTAATCAAGTTTGTAGTCGAGCTAACAAACAGATTCAGACAAATACTCACATTTAGATTTCTTCAGTTTCAATGCCTTCGATTCCAAACGTTCCAACACCGCCCGAAGCGTCATTAAATGTTCAGCATCACTTCGGCCAGAAACCAGGATTTCATCTAAATAAACACCAGGAAAGGGCATATTCTTCAAGATGTCATCCAGAACCCGCTGGAAGACGCTGGGGGCAGAGCATATTCCGAAAGGAAGACGGGTATATTGAAATAGTCGAAGATGTGTAGTTATTGTGGTTAACTCATGTGAGTCCCCATCAAGTTCAACTTGAGGGTATGCAAGACTAAGATCAAGCTTAGAACATTTTTGATCACCGGATGACGTAGCGTACAAATCTTCAATCTGTGGCAAAGGATACCTTTCCACTTTTGTAGCTTGATTGACAGTTAACTTATAGTCTCCACAGATATGAACGGTACTGTCGGGTTTGAGTATTGGAACCACTGGGGTACCCCAATCCGAGTGTTGTACGGGCACGATTACGCCTTCGGATGGTAGCCGTTGTAGTTCTACTTCAATTTTGGATGCATAGCGTACGGTAAATGTTCGTGCTTTGTAAAACTTGTCATTGGTGTTCTCCCGTAGATTAACGGAAGCTTCGAAATGTTTCAGCTTTCCCAATTTATTTTCGAATAACGAAGAAAATCGGTTCGATAGATCGTTTAGGCTACTGTCATTCATCACGACCTCATTAATCTGCATCGTTTTTGGGAAGTATCGGATCCAATTTCTGCCCAAGAGATTTGGTCTTTTCCCAGGTACCACGATCAAAGGTAAAGTTAATTACCGTTTGTCGTGCCTGATTTTAACCATGAACTTTCCCAAAACCCTAATCGGACCTCCAGTGTAGGTTTGCAATGGGAAATCACATGGTTGTAAGGGAGACAGACTTAATTCAATCCATTTTTACACTGATAACTGCAGCCCCTGTATCCAGTTCCAAATCGATCGGTTCATTCTCGATCATCAAACGAATCGTACACGGAGGACACTTGTTGGGTGGTACGGTATTCAAGTAGACGGTATTTAGATCGTCGTCTGGGTCTTCCAGAACGCTTTACTCCGTAAGCGGCGGCTTATTATGGCGCCAAGATTGACTGAAATTAGTTGGTGGGGCGGGTTCCGATCTGCACACGCGGACCAGGTGGCCTATTTTATCACATTTTCAGCATATGCTTGCTATGTGGCGACAATCAGAAATAAGAGCAGCGATAGTACACGAACTGTTTTCGTGGTTCACCTAGAGTGTGGTTTAGCAACTGCGTGAACAGTATCCACGACTGGATGGGCAGTGGATTCACCTATCTGGTGCGAGATATTCTCCCTTTGGCGAACGATTAGACAAGCATTCTCCCATGTAGTATCTGACTCGTTCAATAACACTTTTCCCGTGCACTTTCGTGCAGAATCCCCGCA